CACAGTACGAAAGCTAATCAGTTGCAATCGCAGAGGTGGACCAGCCGAGGGCGTTTCTCGTTCGTTGTAGCATAGGGGGTACGCGCGGTAGTACGCCTCTATCGGACCCGCACGCGAACCGGCATCTTGGGGGGCTGAGGTCCGAAGCTCGGCTCGTCACCGGTCGACTAGGACGCATCCCACACACCACGCGCACACCACTTTACGAACACAAAAATAAAACGCACACACACACACGACATGACACAACACAAACAACGCGGCAAGGCTCCTAGCCCCTCGGTAGTCATCCCATAACTCTCCGATGCAGAAATTGGATAGGCGTCGCGCGCGGGACTTGATATAAAACTGCGCGGCTGCAGGGCTAACCCATATTGACTCGCAATGCAAACGTACGCAAGCAGTCGCAATGATGGCGTACTATGTAGTGCCCATAATCAAGCGGTCCCTCGTGGATCCGAGTACCGCTTATGACACTCAAGTGTCAGACTCGAAGTGTCGTGGGGGTCTAGTCCCTCACGACATTGCACGACTGAAGGAATAGTCGTGCCGCCGCCGCGAGACCTCCAGTCTTTGGTCTAAGCGTCTCGGCAGGCAAGGCAAATAGACTCTGCACGGGGGCAGATTCCTTCCCTGCAGAGTCTAGGGCTTGGGATGTCCTGGACAAGGACCTTGAATCCCGGCCGAGGACCAACGTCCGACTATAAAAATCTCTAAAAAGCAAAGGTCAAAAGGGAATCCCTCTTTTCTCTTGGGACACAATCTGGTTAACCCTTATGCACAATCACAGTGGTCTCTCAAACACTCAGGGCACTTATAAATATATAAGGATTAATTTTATGGGACGACAACTTCTCACAGTCACGGTGTGGCTCCTCTCAACCATATATGTACGTAATCGCAGGCAATCACATCCAGAGTCCGAACCACAAACGCACCAGCAATCACGTCAAAGATTCATCCAGAAGTCCACGCACTACACGGGGTCAACTTCAACCATTCCTTACACTTATACCCCTTGTTTTAGCCATACAAGCCTCACTTGTGCAACTCTTAAATAAATACTCAGTACTTTTGTTGGATGGCCATTCAATAAAGTCCGGGTGAAAACACAACAAAGCAGTTCAATCACAAGGCTAAAACCTTTAGGTTGAGTGGAAGGAGTGAATTGGAGTTGAATCATAAACCGACGAATCGACAACCGACCTGTTATTAGTGATAACAGAAGATGATCCTCATAGGATCAAGCTGAATCTAGTCCAATCCTGAATCGAATGTCCACAAAAGGCCTGTACCATAAGATATGTCAATACCCAAGCGAAATCATCAGCATATGGGGGATGATCCTCCATAGCACATTTTCACCCACGTTACCTGCCAACTAAGTCTAAGCCTACCTCTAAGTCAGTGCTCAAAGAAAGGTAGACTCATGGCAAAATCTCCCCTTATTTAGAGTGGACTACCAGAATCGTCACTTGTCAAAATATAATCTATCTCCTCTAAACTAAGAAAATTTCGGCAGCGCTTCTCAAAGGAAAAGTGCCTTTCCAGAATTTATATAAGTCCAAATATGAAAGCAGAAATAATCTTTAATTCTGGAAAGTCGAACTTTGTCTAACTCCCTGAATTAGTATAAATTTGGACAGCACTTCTTTTAGAAAGGGAGACTTCCCAGATTTATACTAAGTGCGATATGAACTCAAAAGACAACTTAAGTTAAACTTAGACAAGATTCAACTAACTTCTTAGTTTTGTAGAAATTTCGGCAGCACTCCCTTAAGAAAAGTGTTATTCCAAAATTTATACAATGCTAAGTTCAGAATTTGAAGGCAGCTTTGGCTTCTCAAAGTCCAATTTTGTCCAATTCCCTGAATTAGCAAAAATTTGGCCAGCACTTCCTTTAGAAAATGAGACTTTTCAAATTTTTACTAGGTCACATATAAAGAAAAGACAAATTGAACTTTGACAAGTCAAAAACAAACTAACTTTGTGGATTTGTCGAAATTTCGGCAGCGCTTCCCGTAGAGAAAGTAGCTTGCCAAGATTTATACAAAGCCAAGCACAAAAAATGATCCCAGAAAATGCGAGAATTCATCTAAGTAAAAAAAACTTAGCTTAGAAAATGTAGGAATTGAAACTAACTCCTATCGCTCTAAGCACATGGCGAGCAACTAAAGCAACTACCTATCAAACTGAAATTCAGATAAAGTAGTAACCTCACTCAGCCACCTACAGGCCAAACCACAAAGGTAAGTACTCTCGTCATCCCAAAGTCAACATAGCAGACAATAGTTTATATTCTTTCAATGATTTATCCCTTTATACCCATCTTACATAAGGCATAGGCCAGGCCGCCTGAACTTACAGAGCGCGCCCTACTTAGCTAGGCCTAGAATCAGAATAACAAAACTTATAGAGCGTTCTGATTTGGCCAAGTATACACAAACAGAGAGCACAATTACTTTTCTCTTCTTTGGGCACATGACTAGACCACTCTAGTCGCCCTGAACTGTTTAAAGTATCCAAGTTGTATATACTTATCTTCACCTTCGTCTTCTTAGGCTGCATTTGATTGAACTAACTTGAGTTCAATCTGCCTCAGTTTACCACCAATTTTATTCTTAGTTATACTCTCTTCAAGTTGTGATACGGCTATAGTCAAACCACCTAAACTTATAAAACAATCCGATTACCTCGTTCTTAGATGAAACAGTAGTAAAGTATAGCTAAGTTATAACCATTGGGTTCCAGCATGTGCGAGGTTTCGAGCCAGACCCCCTGAACTTACAG